TCTCAAGAACGGTGGAAAAGAAATTGTTCAACTTAGAGATAGACCCAATTGGTGGTGAGTACGTGCACGCAGGTTTGGAACGTCAACTGCGCCGAGTTTTAAGCAATAATACAAGTCCGGTTTCCGACAAAGATGGCGTTCAGTTGGCGATAGATGGCCTGCCCGTGTCTAGGAAATGCAACACACATGTGACCAATTTCATGCAGGGTAGTGCAACCCTATCTCAGCGATGTGTCTCCAGTGGGTGTTTACTATGTATGAACTATGTAAAAACAATCAGATAAGTAAGATTTTTTGGTTATTGTGGTTGCACAGTGTGATCCCCAAGAAGTTAGTTTTGTGTACTATGCTTATTACCCGGCATTAGCACATGATCAAGCCCTAGTTCTACATACTCAATTTAAAAGACTCATGCAGGACGGTATTTTCAATACGTTTGACGACCTTTTGTCAAGAGTTAGAGATTTCGAGAAGGTAGGTGAAAATATGGTTACCCTGTTGGAATTTTCAGGCAACAAACTCCAGCTTCAGAATAAAACGCAGCATCAAGCTGCCAACGGATCACCCTGCCTTATTACTTTTGAATGTGTTCACGCCGGCATACCTAATCCAAAAAATGTAAAGAGGCGAACTACGTAATTGCTTTTAACTTAAATGCAAACGTGTTAGATCAGTGAAATTTGGCTACATGGCCAGATTTACAGTCGCCCAATTTAAAGGCGACCTTCAAATGAAATCAGTACACCACCTGCATAACCACGTATGTAGTCATGCGTTGGTGCCTGCCTATCCTAAATTCAGAAGGTTTGAGGGCGAAGCCGGTAAAAGGCTTCTCAAACTGATAATTCTGTTAAAGCCCTCGGCTGGTCGGATAAAGTTGTTTTTGAAGGGTAAGCTTTATGAAAGGCAAACTTTTTTGTAGAGGAAACTGATTTAAACTACAAGATGAAGGATCTAGCCTGTATGCGAAGGCGCATCATGCATCGGATCCTTCTGCTTTGGGGATGACGGAGGCCCCTCAAAATATGGAGGGTGGCAATATTGCGGACTATAAGTAGGGCGCAGAAGGGCTTGAAGCCGTGTGCTTCACAACACCACGCCTCAAAACCGTTTGCTCAGTATGCAAAAAGTGGTGCAGATGGACGGCACCTACCGAACTAACCGTCATGGGTTCCCATTGTATCACATAGTGTAACCGATAAGCATGGTCATGCTCAGTCCATGTTCCATGCTTTTATTGTTAACAACGGCCGAATCCATCGAATGGGTCGTTAGAAAATTTAAAGAAATAATTGACTCTGCTACCTCGGAAATACGAACGGTTTTCCTTGACAAGGATGCCAGGGAAATAAAAGCCTGGGAAGTATTTCCGGAACAGGCAATATCTATTTTAATTTGTTCTTTTCATGTTCTTTAAGCCTTTCGGCGTAAGGCTGCTAGGGTCTCCTTGAGAGAGGCAGCGGATGAAGTTATGATTTATGTGAAGAGGGCTGTGAGAACCCTAAGTCCTTCAAAATTTCATCTAACAATGCAGCACATTGAAAATCATTTTCCTGAATTATGGTCGTATACCTGCGACAGTTGGCTAAACTGTGTGCGCTCGTGGGCCTAACATGCCCGAGATACCGTCACCACACGACGAATAAGACTGAAAGTCTTAATCGTGTGATCAAGGACTGGTGCAAGCCCTTCATGAGCATCACCGAGTGCTTATGTCAATTGGTCAAGTATCTACGGACGAAGGACATAGATTTCGAACGGTTGGGGGCGGAAGAATACTGCCGTCACAGACAGTATAACGACCGACCTCCAGATGTTGCATCACTATGTCAACGGCTGACTGCTTACGCCTCAGACGTCTACTTCAAGTATATTGATGCGAAGAGGGCAGACACAAGTATAAGTGAAAGGATGGACTCGTGTAGTTGCCGATTCTTTTCGAATTGGGAACTGCCATGTGTCCATATAACAAATTACATGGCCGTAAATAACGTTAACTCCCAGCTCGTGTTAAGGGGCAGTCGGTGTTTGACAAGCAGTGAAGTCTCTCAGATCTCTCATACTTACGTTATTCCTGGTTCTCAACCTGTAACTTCTTTCTACGCAGACGCCGTCCTAGAGGACAGACTACCTCCGTTTACTGAGTCCTACACGTACAATGAGGCTATGAAGGTCTTTGACGCTCTTCTTCAGATAATTAAATGTAGTGGCCGTAGGCGCTTCACCGAATTGCTTAACAAATTCAAAGCTTTGTGAGCGCAATTACTAAGGGTACTACCTTGGAATCTGAAGAGGAGTCGTCGTCGTACTCTCCAGAGGCGGAGAGGGGTGTCGGCGAGGGCCGGGCGGTTGTGCGCTGTGTTATGAGGCCGAAGGGCAATATGTTGCGTGCACACGTCGGGGACAATGACTGATCGTCCGAATCCGAGGAAGTGCCATTCATGATTCTCTCAAAGCACTCCCTTAGTATTCGATACTTCTCCGTGAAACGCTTACGACCACAACTCTTCAATTTCTCAACTATAGGATCGACAAGCTTCATTGTTTGCCGATACTTGTAATCTTCCGTGAATGCAGGCCGTGTGTCCTCTAGGACCACGTCTGCTAAAAAAGTACTCGTTGATGGTCCTGGTATGGATTTTCATCAGGTCTCATCATCTCAGGCACAGCTCTGGGAGCCAACAACCGACAGCCCCTCAAAACGAGCTGGGGGTCAACTCTTTTTGCAGCCATGCAATTTGCTATATGGACACACGGCAGTTCCCAATTCGAAAAGAATCGGCAACTACAAGAGTCAACCCACTCACTTCTCCTTACTACCAGACTAGTGGCATCAATATGTCTGAGGAATACATCTTACGCATACGCCGTCAGCCTCAGGCCCCTTGCTGCCACATGTGGGGGACGACTATTATAATGACGGCGGCGGCGTTATTCTTCAGCCTCCCGCCTCTCTGTGTCGACATTGTTCGCCTGGAGATGGGTAGCCAGGGCCTCCACGCAGTCTGTCAAGCTCATATACGTCTTACACCAACCCTTCAGCACCCGATTAAGACTGCCTGTTTTATTCGTTCCATTGTCGCCATAAGTGATTAGGCGAACACGAGCATAGGGAGTCCACACGGGCTCACAGTTCAACCAATTTTCCTCGATGTAGGCCCACAGTCGCAGAAAATCGGTTCTAATGTGCTGCATTGCCACCTTATGCTTTGAAAGACTGACGGTTTTCACAGCCCTTCTAAAAAAACGCATAGCCGCGACGGCCATGTCGCTGACGTACAGGCTGATCGCCTTACGCCCAAAAGCTTGCAGCACATGGAATGTGCACAATAAAATAGAAATGCCTGCTTCGGGGCATACATGTCTCCAAGCCCCTATTACCCGGGCATCCTTATCATAAAAAACCGTCCGCATTTCCTTCGTAGCAGAGCCCATCATTCCCCGAAATTTTCCAACGACCCACTGCATGGACTCATTCGTCGCCCTTCTTACGAAAGCATAGAACACGGACCGCGCATGACCATACTTATCGGTTATCACAATGTGATACAATGCAAAACACAAAGCGATTAGTTCGGTAGGTGCCATCCATCTGCACCACCTTCGCATACTGCGCAAACATGGTTTTCAGGGCTGGCGTGGTGAAACACAGTGCCTCCAGCCGTTCTGCAACATAGATGAAATCTGACAAACTACCACAGGCCAGCTTGTGGAAGGGGGGAGAATATCCAGTATAATTATTGTGAAAGAGTTTTATCAAAATCTCTCAAATTTTGTCCCGTTAAACTATTTTAATAAACCAATATTCAATTTTTCCCATTCGGGCTGTTGATCTTCTTGATACGATTGTGAAAGAACAAAATGACTTCTGGAGAAGAAGGATCTGCTGTTACGACTAATGTGGAAAAGACGGATGAAAATGCCAATGTTTCAGTTTTAGATGCAGAGACCGACAAACAAGGCCCGAGTACGAAGGATAGCGGTACTGTTACAGTGGTGACAGCTTCTGGCCACGATTCCTACGACTCACCCCGTTCAACGCTGGCTCCCAGCCATGCTATCCCCTCCCCCCTCTTTTCAACCTTATGATGGATCCGAAGACTTTTCAGATTGGCTTAATACCATTGACTTTTATTTGGACGATGTTTCACCAGGCGATCGCAGCCGTTTACTGCTCCGCCATTTAGGCACTAGACAACTTTGGCAAGCCATCAACTCGGGTGCCAAGAGCAGTACTCCGTACGACGACCTCTGTGAAAAGCTACGTAG